CTCTCTCTCTCTCACACACACACACACACACACACACACACACACACACACACACACACACACACGCGCGCATACAGGGATCAGCAGAGGAGCTGGACGAACAAAGGACGACAACCTGCGGAAGGGAAGTGCGCAAGACACGAGGGGACAAAATAAGGAAGAGAAGCGCGCAATACTCCTTGACACTTTGTAAACCACTGCACATTGCACACACGAGCTTCAAGATACATAAAGGACAACCCCCCGTTGTTCAATCATGGATATGGGCCTGTACAGATAAAACCACGCACGACGAACCGAAGTGATATCAGGCCGCACAATAGAATGACGCGCACACAATAAAAAAGAAGAACATAGGAATAATCGGCCTACGAGGAAGAAATAAGAATAAGACCAGTGTCCAAATTTTTCTTTCTTTTTCTTTTTTTCTTTGTCTTTGTGCTTTTCTCTTTTCGTTTGTCATTTTTCGAATTTTGTTTTCTCGTTGATTCCCCCCCTTTTTTTTCAAGTTGCTAGTTTTTTTAATAATAAGAATAAAGTGCTTGGGAATGAAGCCTCTGAATACCGACAGACAAACAGGAACAGTCGTCCGCTCGATGACAAATGTTTTTGATAAATTCCCTTTCCCCCTTTTTCCCTTTTTTTTTTTTTTTTCCTTCTTTTTTTCCTTTTTTTTTTTTTTTTTTTTTTTTTTTTTTTTTTTTCAAAATTTTCGCGCCCCTTTTTTTCGTGTCCTTTCGCTCGTTTCGGAAGTTGTCACGCGACAAGAGGATCAGCGCCAGTCTAGGAGGGACTAGACAGGTGACGAACAATAGGACTATTTTAGAATGCGGAACGACCGGAGTCTCCCATCCTCTTTCTCACAGAGTGTGCGCACTGTTGGGTCAAGGACGTACGTACGGCCTTGAAGTGTGACACGCTTCCAGTCGAATCACGTGGCGTTTTTTGGTGACGACTTCGGAGGCTGCGGTACCTGCGGGCTACGACAACAAGGAGTCATGGACTACGAAGTGGACCCAGCCATGGTGGACCTGCTGATCGGCAATCCCGAAGATGCGGTATAGCTCTCTGCTCCTCCGTTCATCTAGGCGCAAATGCTTCCGCTCCCCCCGCCACGCTCTGATCTCTGAAGAAGACAGGCACTCATAGTGTATCGCTGTGATCACTTGTCTATCTTCTTGCTTTCTTACTCCTCTCTTCGCAGCGCCAAGCCTTCTCAATCAATTGCATGGCACTAGTGATGCGCGCTTTCTTTATCTTCCCATGCTCGCTTCTTTCTTTCAAAGCTCATAGCACTACTTACTATGGCGCTCCAAAAGGAAGATATGGAAGGTAGAGCTACGCTAGTTGTTGAGGTCTCGGCAGTCGTACTATTGGCCTTTATTGCTCTGCTCGCCTTTCTCGCCCTACTTGCATTTCTACACCATCTGCAAACGCTGCCGCCACCATCTCCCCCACTCCCGCTACCCAAACGTTTGTAACGAAGCAGGGGAATACCCTCTGATGAAGCCGTGCATTAGTGGCTAGCGGCAGAAAAGCACTTCAGGGATCGCCACTACCCTCCCTGCTATGGCTGTCGAGGCGTATTCCCATATTACGTGGAA